TGCCTGTGTGATCATGCCACTGGGGGACACCTGGCTCCACTTCTGAGGATGCTCCAGCATCTGTGCCTCCTGCCGTGTGCGGCTCGTTGCTCTGTTTCCTGTGCCTGCGTGGTGGTCATTTCACAGGACGGGAGCTGGTGCACGGGGTGGATGGCGCCTGCGAGGGGTCAGCCCTGTCCCCACCGTGGCTCTCACACCACATGAGTGTGACTGCGCTTGTTCCCAGTCCAGGACCTGAGCTGTTTTCTCCACAGTTACCTTGGGCCTCCGTGTCTCCTTTGCCTGCGGAATTATATACCTAAATTTCTCTCTTTTCTTTCTTTCCTCTGTGATTTGTGTGATTCTGGGAACATTCAGAGATGTTTTAATGCAGTAGTTTGTGTTTTTAAAATTTGTCCTCAGCCAAGTGCCACATGTTACGCCCATCGAGGTGGCAGTTCCCCTGGGCATAGCTCTGTTTGGAAACGGCCTCACAGCACTCGGAGCCCGAATACACTGCTTGGCAGGGCACCACACCCGGTAATTGCCCAGAGAGTGGCCACCATCCCCATCAGCTGTGCATTCCCAGACCCTGGGGCTGGAGGTCCCAGCAGAACTAGGCCCAGGGCTAGAGGCCGGGTGCCCAGGCAGGAGTGAAAAGGTCTCCCTGAAAATCTAAAGAAAATGAAGCTCATGAAGTAATGTGATGTTTTCACCTTTGTCTAAGTGAGTTCAAGTTGATCTGAGGACAGAAGGCATCAAGGGCCTGTATGACCTTCCAGTGGCTGCTGTGACAAAGTGCCACACCCTCCATGGCTCAAAGCAACAGAAATGTGTGCTCTCACAGCTCTGAGGCCACAGCTCCACAATCTGCTCTGCTGGCAATGCCCAGGTATGATAGGGCTGAGTTCCTCCTGGGAAACCCCCAGGTAGAGCGGGGCCAAGCTCCTTCCTTGGAGACTCTGGGGGATGGGGCCTCCCTGCCTCTTGTTGGTTTTGGGGCTCCTAGCTGTCCTTGGCTTGTGGCCACATTACTCCGTTCTCTGCTGCCTTGTCACATGGCGTCTGTCTCCGTTGCAAGTCTCTCTCTCCTCTGCCCCTACAAGGATGCTTGCCATAGGAGTTAGGGCCGGTCTGGGTAATGAAGGGTGATCTCATCCCCCAATACTGTGTTTAGTCACATCTGCAAAGACCCTTGTTTCCAATAAAGCCACAGACACAGTTTCCAGGGATTGGGCTGAGAGCATCTTTTTGGAGGTCACATTCAGCCCACCACAGGGCATCTGGTTTGTAGCATTTCCAAAGGCCAAGGGTCAGTTTTTTGGTCAAAGCAGGTGTGGCACTTCTGTTCCATGACACAACCTGGCTCACAGTCCACGTATATTCTTCTTTTGTCTTTTGTATATTGTGTATTTGTACTTTATATTTTGTGTTGTTACATTTAAAAAGTCTAAAGGGGCCGGTTGCGGTGGCTCACACCTGTAATCACAGCACTTTGGGAAGCCAACGTACGGGCCGATCACGAGGTCAAGAGATGGAGACCATCCTGGTCAACATGGTGAAACCCCATCTGTACTAAAAATACAAAAAAATTAGCTGGGTGTGGTGGCGGGCACCTGTAATCTCAGCTACTTGGGAGGCTGAGGCAGGAGAATCACTTGAACCTGGGAGGTGAAGGTTGCAGTGAGCCGAGATTGCGCCACTGCACTCCAGCCTGGGCGACAGTGAGACTCCCGTCTCAAAAAAAAAAAAAGTCTAAATGGGAGCAATTCAGTGTATTTGGGACTTTGTTTTTCTTTTCAGTTTGTGTGAGTTGAAACCCAAGCTGGGCAGGAAAAGAAGTGATGCAGTAGCGGATGTCATCTCAGGCACTGGAATCCGCAGGCAGCAGGGATGTTAGACCCACTCTCACTCTGCTTGTGCGCTTGGCCTTCTCTGCAGAGCCAGGCGTTTTTTGGGTGGTTCCTTTCTACGGGTCCCTCTGGGCTGGCAGTGAGCAAGTGTGGGCAAATACATGGCCACTGGTTTCCCACCAGGCCCCCGTTATCCTTTTGAAGTCTCAGAAAGTGATTAATAACTCGCCACACACATTTGTTGTTGTTGTTAAAGCTGTTAAACAAAAAAGTGAGGAAAAAAGGACGTTCATGTAACTGACCAATACTTTGCACAGAGGAGATCATCTGTTGATGGAGAACCAAAATGGACTGTGAAATTGGAAAATTAGATATTGGAATCACTTATTAGAAGTTGTACAAATAGCATGAAAGCGTGGATACATATTTTATTTTGTTTTTGATCCTGTAATAAACTTCTGTATTTTATGATCATAACTGTTTACAAAAGTAGTCTAGACATTGTTGAATCCTTATAGTGACAAGTTTTCCTAATACATTTATAGTAATTTGACTTTTTGTTGTTGTTGAGATGGAGTCTCACTCTGTCGCCCAGGCTGGAGTGCACTGGTGTGATCTTGGCTCCCTGAGCCTCGTCCTTCCAGGTTGAAGTGATTCTCTGCCTCAGCCTCTTGAGTAGCTGGGATTACAGGTGCCTGCCACCATGCCCAGCTGATTTTTGTATTTTCAGTAGAGATGGGATTTTACCATGTCGGCTACGCTGGTCTTGAACTCCTGACCTCAGGTGATCCACTCGCCTCGGCCTACCAAAGTGCTGGGATTACAGTCGTGAGCTACTGTGCCTGGCTGTAATTTGATTTTTAAAAAGCAGCGGAGTTATAATCACCATGTCATTGGTATGCTATAGTTGCTCAGCACTGTTTTATAATCTGTCATCAGCTAACTGGACAGGGAACAGGCAGACATTGTTTTTGTATTTGGCAAATGTTGAAAGTGTGGCTTGGAGTCATGTGCTTCCATGTCTTACTTTTCTGATTCTTTCTTTGTCCTTCCATGGTGTGGATTTTTTCTCACTGCATTGCCAGGGGCCAGCCAAATCCTTGCTCACCCAGTGACGGGGCGTGAATGTTACCATTTCCTGTCCCATGATCCAGAATTTTAGCTGCAACAGAGGGCTCTGCGGGAGTGGGTAGTTTGAGGTCCGATTGTGATGGGAAAAGAGATTAATGCGAAACAAGATGCTGATTCTCAATTTGTAGGATATAGCAGGACGGGATATCATCTGGCAGAAACAGTCTGGAAGAGGCTGACTTGGAAGAATCAAGAACTGTTTTTTTTTTCTTCTGTATTCAGATCTGTTCATGTATGAACTTGGCTGTGGGTTAGCCTAGTATAGACCAGGGGGCCGTCTGTGTCCAGATTCCAGAGGCCTTGTGTGCATGCATACGTACGGGATCTATGTGGGACCTGAGTGGAGTCTGGGCAGTGACATTGGTGTGGCTGTTCCCACTGGCATGTCCAGCCACATAAGCAAAGTTCGTTAGGACCCCTGGCCACCACCACTGGAGTCTTGCGTCCTCCTTGGCTCCTGGGCCAGCACAAGTTCGCGGATCCCCTGGGTATCTCTTTCTGGTGGATCCTGCGCTCTACCCATCCCAGGCACGGGGTGGGCTTCCATTCGTCACCAAGAGTGGGACGCGTCCTCCTTCCAGGCCACCCCCTCACTGTGACCATGGCTGTGTTTGTGACGCTGCCTGGGTTCACGCCCTCAGGCAGCAGTGTTAAGAGGGATACCCTTGGCTGCCTTAGCAAGCCCAGGACTGGGAGCAGTGGGCAGCCGCCCCATCTTACTTTCGTCGCCCCCAAAGGCTGCAGCCGTCTCTGTTAGCCGGGGTTGGGGAGAAGCCGCAAGAAGTGGAGCACTGTGTTCATGGCTCAGTCACCACCTCCTGCTTGGGGGTTGTTTCTTCTGCGCACGGGATACTGAGGCTGCAAGTCCTGGATGGAAGCAGGCTGCTGTCCCTCCTCCTTCTGGGGTGTTCCAGAGGCTTTGGTCTGGGCAGCACTCTGCAGCACTCACTGGTCAGTGCAGCTGTGCTCTTGGGAGTGGAAAGACTCTAACCAAGGGTCCCAGTCGGACCTGCTTTGCCTGTACCCCACGGGCCCCTGGCTGACGGTCAGCTTTCCTGGTGATGTATGCTCCACCCACCAGGGGAGCCTGCAGGATCTGCAGACAGGGCCTCGGTCCAGAGCTGATCGTCTCTGGAGACCTCTCCGGCAAGGTGGCTCTGCTGAACTTTGGGGTCGGAAAAAAGAAAAAAATTTGAGAAAAAAAAGAAAGTGGCAAACCGCAAGTCTCATTCCCCACCTGAGTGGGATTTTAGTCCTTGCCAAAGACTTGGAGTTCAGCTTTATTCGTACTTCTTTTTAAATAAATGGATGAAACTTTGTCATTTTGAAACTCTTTACTCAGTCAAGCCCTGAAACCATGTTTGTGAAAATGACTTTAACGTGGTTGTAACCCAAGGGTTTTCTTAGTGTCCTCATTCCTCCCATTTGGCCAGCCATGTAGAAGGAGAAAGAAGGAACAATGCCTAGAATTTGACCTGATTGAGTTCCCAGTTTCATGACAGCTGCATATATGAAATATTCTATTGTAAGCTGGAGCTTTGTGGAGAAAATATGTGCAAATAACCCTGAATTGAATATACATGTGCATTCTTTATTGTTTTACCAAGTTTCTGATTAGGAATTCCAAGTACTGTTCCTAGTATTCTCGTGATGGATTTGAGTTGGTGTTGGCAAGGTACAGAGTGTTTACAAACCTATGGAAAAATCCTTATGGGAACAGGGGGTCATAAAACAGTGCTGGTTTCCAAGGGGGAAGCCATCGCTACCTTGGGCCAGAAAAGGAGACCATGGGTGGGCAGGGTCCAGGTTGGGTTGGTGGGGTCACGTAACTGAGGTGTCTGCGCCTTACTGTCTGCACTGTGGAGGCCACGTCCTCCTCCTGCCCCAGTTCCTTTTGTAAAATGCAACTGACCGTCCCTGCCCCTTGCTACACTGAGCTCTAGTTGAATTTTACATGTGAGAAAGCACTGTTGATTTCCCCTCTCCAGGTGGCATCTGTGATAACTCATACATTGCTGTGCTTTGTTTTAATTCTAGGCAGCTTCGGCCACCTCTCTGTCCAAGCTGGCGTGCATGCACATGGTCCGCTGGGCTGTTTGGAACCCCTTGCTGGAAGCTGATTCTGGAAGGGTGACGCTGCCTCTGCAGGGCGGGATCCAGCCCAACCCCTCGCACTGTCTGGTCTACAAGGTCCCCTCAGCCAGCATGAGCTCTGAAGAGGTAAATTGTTAGGTATTTCTTGTGCTTCTCCGGTGAGCTTCTAGCAAGTTCATTCATTTTCAGAAGCAAAAGTTCACAAATACGTTTGCAGATGTTTCATTTACAGAATTTTTTCATGTCATGGGTATGCCTTTAAAAAGATTAGTATGACCTTTTTATGTAAACCTGCCGAGGCCATCTTTATTGTGGCTTTTATCCCTGTTCGCATACTGACTTCCCGGGATGACTTGGCGAACCTCCAGCTGACGTGTACACACCTTGCAGCGAGATTCATTTCTGTGCCATGTGCGTTTGGCGCATTGGAGCTTGGGCTTTGCGTGGCCTTTGCCGGTGGGTATTTTGGTGGACGAGTGCTGAGGTGGGAGCCAGTTCTGGGTTCCAGCCCTGGCTTATCTTTGTGACTTATCGCTAATGCTTCCTGGACCTCAGGTGTGTACAAAGGGGTAGGACCACAGCAGAGACTCTCAGGTTTTTTAAAAAATTCTGAAATGAAATGTTCTCTGCACCCCAATTTAAGAAGTAAAGAAAAGTAGAGCAGAGTGGGGTTGAAGCATGTGTAAGGGTCCCACCCCCAGCCTTCTTGGCCCCATTGGTGGCCTTGGAGGATGGTTAGTGGTGACCCAGGGCACCACAGACGCAGTGCAAATCCCTGCTCTGCAGATGGCTGGAGTCCAGTGGGCTCTCCGAGGCGTGGCGGCATTTCTGCTGGGGTCTGCTCTTTGGCTTTCTCTCACCTTCCTCAAACATGTCATTTCAGCAGTGCCAGCAGGAGCTTTTTAGTATTCAGGTGTCTCATTTTTCTAGGGTAACAGGACTGTGCCTGTTATTTCAGTTTGTCAACTCAGTGCTGACTCCAGTGACAGATAATGTGTTCAGTGTTGTTATTTATGATTTGGGTAATGCTTGGGAGACCTGAATAAGAGAACAGCTGATTGTGCAGCTTTTCTTCCTATAAGGAATGTCTCTCCTGATGGGACCATATTTTGCTGCACTCCCACATGGTCTAGTTTGAGCCCTTATTATAAAATTGCTGTTAGAAATCCTGAAGCCGTTACCATCTTCCCCTCCATGCCACTCCCACGTCCTCGCCTCCCTCCTGGTCTCTTCTCTTCTCTTCTCTTTCTCCTTGTCTCCACTCCTCCCCTCTCCTCCCATTTGGATAAGTACATAAATAAATATTTATTCTGTTTATTTTAGGTCTATAATGCCATCAAATTGCCCTTACTTTTTAAATGTGTAAACTATATTGGGGCATGAATGTTTTGAAGGTTTACTATCTTAAGGACACAAATGTATCAAATTTTGCCATTTTCCACAAGGAGTACCACTTCCAAATCAGGGTTTTTGACCTCAGCTCTGTTGACATTTGTGCCAGATAACTCTCTGTATGAGGCCATCCTGTGCGCTAGCGGTTGCTGAGCAGTATTCCTGGCCTCTGTTCACTGGGTGCCAGCAACATCTCCCTACCTGTGACAGCCTTAAATGCCTACAGACTGTGCCAGATGTTTCCTGGGGGGTAAAATTGCCCCGATTGAGTGCCCCCACTCTAAACTGATGTAATTAACTAAAGCAGTGAACTAGCCCTGGCCACAAACTCGATTCCCTTTCCTGCCCTGCGAAGGCACTCCTTTGCTTCTGCCTGAGTGTCCTGCATGGCGGTGCCAGCCCCTCTCAAGTCAGGTCAGTTAGAAGCCTAGGTGTGCCTATCTCTGCCGCTGCACCAGCCCATTCTTTATCTCACTCAGTCATTCATCACTCAGTGAACTTGTATAGAGCACCTACATGTACTCTAAGAAAAAAATCCCTGATCCCATGACAGTTGAGTAGGAGAGGCAGATGTTAAAGAAAAATATAAATACAACTAAAAGTCCATAGTTTTTGGGTAGCTAGATTTTAGAGTTTATGTTGTTATGATTATTTCACTGTAATTTACTATGAAATGATGAAATCATGTATCATAATTGTGTTTCCTTTCTTAACTCCTGCCCTTTTCCCTTGAGGAAATAATTGTTTCCCTCTTTTTTTTTTCTTCTTTTTTTTTTTTTAGAAATTGATATCTCCAAAGACAGCCACTTTCAACTCTTAACTGTGACTTATGGTCTTTACCTTTGTTTTCTAAATAATAGCCTTTTACTGCTGTTTCTTAATTTACAATTTCAGACATTATATACTGAATTCTTATAATGACAGATGAGAATTTTAGCTCTTTTGTACATTTCCTGCCCATCTTTAAAGCACTCTGTCTTCTTACTGCTTGGCCTTGGATTCAGGCACAGTTGCGGGGGGCATACAGCACAGTAGAGCTGGTTGGAGAGTGAAGGGGGGGTTTACTTGCAAAAACTAGAGAGATCACTGAGGGAGGAGCTGGGGAGGTGGTCCTGTAAGGTTGTTTACAAAACCCCAGGTTCACCCCAAAACTGCCCGTGTGTAGGTCTGACCCTAAACAGATACCAAAGACTTTGACACTGTGGGATTGACAACTTCCTAGTTTCAGAGCTGCCTGCTGGATGGAGGACATGCAGGAGAAATCTGAAGAACCCTGCACAGGTTTTGAAAATGAAACTGACATCTAAACCACAGCCCACAGGATATTGATCAGAAACTGTCCTGAACGCAATTGAGTCAATTCCTACCTAAATAAAAATACCAGCATTCTTCATAGGATTTAAGTGAGGCTCAGAGTTTTATAATGTAATGTTCAAAGTGTCTATGATACACTCTAAAGTTAATTGTCATACAAAGAACCTGCAAAGTTCAGCTTGTAGAGAAACAGTTAACAGATACCAACACTGAGATGATACAAATGTTAGAATTATCAGAGAATTTAAAGCAGTCGTAATAAAGATGCGCTAGTAAATAAGAACAAACATCCTGGAAATAAATGGGAAGAGGTAAATGAAAATTTTAGAACTGAAAAATAAAATAACTAAAATAAAAAATCACTAGATGGCCTAACAGCAGACTGGAGGTGACAGAAGAGTCAGTGAACTTGAAGATAAACCAACAGAAATTTATTCATCCTGCGCAACAGAGAGGAAAATGATTGGAAGACAAGGGGCAAAGCCTCAGTGTTGACCTGTAGGTCCCTACCAAAAAGACTAGCACCCAGTCCTGGTAGAGGAGACTATGGTGCAGAAAAAAGTACTTAAAAAATAATGACTGAAAACTTCCCCAATTTGGCAAAAGACGTAAACCTGCAGATCCAAGGTCAGTGAACCCCAGGGATAAATGTGAGGAAATCCACACTCAGATAAATCATACACAAACTGCTGAAAACTAAAGACAAAGAATAAAATTATTAAAAACAGCTATAGAAAAATGACGCATTACTTACAGAGAAATAATAATTTGAATGACTGGATACCTTATCAGAAACCAGCTGACCAGAAGGAAAGTGGGAGATTTTTAAAGTGCTAACAGAAAGACCTTGGAACTCAGAATTCTGCATCCAGTCTAAAAAAAAAGTGTGAAATGAGGACATCTTAGATGAACTAAAAGTAAGAGCAGATAATTTGCTTAAAGAATTGCTAAAAGAATTTCTTCAGACAGAGAGGAAGTGTTACCAGATCGAAATTTGAAACATCAAGAATGAGGAAAGAACAACAGAAATGGTAAATATAATACTCTCCTCTTCTTTTTTAAAATATATTGGATGGTTGAAGCAAAAACTGTAACAGCGTGGCTGGGTGCAGTGGGCTTGTAATCCCAGCACTTTGGGAGACTGAGGAGGGTGTAATCTAATCTTTACTTTTAGCAACTAGAAAAAGAAGAGTAAAATAAACCCAGAGCAATTGGAAAGTCAGTAATAGCAGACACCAATGGAACTGCAAACAAAAATAATAGATTAAAAACTAAAAAATAGCAAAAACCCAATGAAACTAAAACCTGTTTGAAAATATCAGTAAATTGATGAACTTCTAGCCAGACTGAAAAAGAAAGGAGGATGAAATGACTAATATTAAGAATGAAAGAAGGAATATCAGTCCAGACCTCACAGGTATTAAAAGGATAAGGAGGAACTACTACAGACAATTCTCTGCACATAAATTTGACAATTTAGGCGAAATGGATGAATGAATATTAAACCCCATGCTGCCAAAACTCAGCCAAGATGAAGTAGATAAACTGAGTAGTCCTATAACTTTGTATAAATGGAATTCATAGTTTAAAAACTTTTGAAAAAGAAATATTCAGGCCTGTTAACTATGAATTCTACTAAACATTTAAAGCAGAAATTATACCACTTTTATACCATCTATTTCAGAAAGCAGATGGGAGCAATTCCCAACTCATGAAATGAAGCCAGCATTACCCTGATACCAAAACCAGAAAAAGATATTAATAGCAACAAGAAAACAGAAATGTGGACCCATATCCCTCATAAACATAGGTGCAAACTACTTGACAAAATATTGGCAAATTGAGTCCCGTGATTTGCAAAAAGAATAATATACTATAACCAAGTGGAGCTTTATCCCAAGAATGCAAATTTGTTTTCGATTTGGAAATCAATAGATGTAATTCACTATAGTAACAGCCTAAAGAAGGAAACCATATGATCCTGGCAATTGATGTTGAAAAAACATTTGACAATACTCAGCATCAGTTTATGATAAAAACTCTGAGCAAACTAGCAATAAAAGAAAAATTCGTCAGCATGATCCGTGGTATCTACAAAAACTCTTTAGTTGACATCATACTTAATGCTGAAGATTGATTGCTTTCTCCTAAGATTAGGAACAAGTGAAGGATGTCCCCTCTCGCATTCAGCCTCATGGTCAGCAGTGCTTTGGAAGGTATAGTCAGTGCTGTAAGTCAAGAAAACAAAAGACATACACACTGGAAGGAAGAAACAAAACCGTCCTTTTTTGCAGAAAACATGATTATGTATGTCAAAGATTCTGAGGAATCTGCAAAAAATGAGTGAGTTTAGTGAGACTGCAAGATAACACAGGAAGTCAACATGAAAAATCAGTCCTATTTCTCTATACTAGCACTGATAAATTGAAAGCAAAATACAGAAACAGTATTACTTATAAAGCCCTGCTCTCCATGAAATAAATCTGACAAAATAGGTATGGGATCCGTATGCTGCCAGCGATAAAACTGTCGTTTTGCTAGCTGTCATTGTGGTTATTCTTAGGTGAAATCAAGGAAGACCTAACTAATTGGAGAGACATAACATGTATATGTCTTGGAAAACTCAACATAGTAAAGCTGTCAGTTCTGCCCAAGATTGATCTATAGATTTTATGCAGTTTCAATCAAAATCCCAGCAGGAGTGTAGGTAAGCAGATTTTGAAATTTACACGGAAAGTTAAAGGAATTAAAAGAGTCAAAATAGTTTTGAAAAAGAACAGTAAAGTTGGAGGAGTCATAATACACAGTTTAAACACTTACTATACCCCCACACTAATATAATTAGTATCAAGGGGTTGGCACGTAGATTAATGGAACAGAAAGAGAGTCCAGAAATAAAGTTTGGAAGTGCCTTATTAAATTAAATATACCATATGACCCAGCAGTCCTACCCTTGGAGAAATGAAACCTGTGTTCACACAAAAATCTGGACACATGTGTTTGTAGCAGCTCCATTTATAATCACCCAAACCAGAAACAACTTAAATGTTCATGAGTGACTGAATGGATAAATAACCGTGATATATCCGTACAATAGAATACCACTCAGTAATAAAAAAAAGTTTGATGTGTTTGCCACAACTGGGATGAATCTCATCAGTTGGAATGAGGTTCAAATGACAGTGCTGGGAAGCAGTCATAGATCACTAGGGTTAGGCAGGGGTGAGCCGTGGCTGCAGAGGGGCAGGGCAAAGGAGCACTCGGCGGGGAGATGGGGCTGGCCTGCACCCTGAGTGTGGTGCTGGTTATGTGAGTCTGTGCACGTGCCAAAACCCATAGAGCCATAACCCAGAATAAAGATGTCAGTCTCACATAGGTTAATGAAAACATTCCCAACTCAGGAGAGGCTGTGATTTCTACTTGGGTAAGGGTCATTCCATGATCATATGGCCTGCAGGGCTTTTAGTGCCACAGTCAGTTGCTTTTTGCTCAGAAACTACTTGAGTATAATCTAAGAACATGTGGCTTCTTCAGTGGCCTCTGCTTTCACGTAGGCTTTGTTTTAGGACCGAGTGTGCCGTTCCTGGTTGGATTGTTGTGACCGGAGTGCCGATGAAGGGCGTGGCCATCACTGCTGTTGTGCTCCATTGCAGGTGAAGCAGGTGGAGTCGGGTACAATCCGGTTCCAGTTCTCGCTGGGCTCAGAAGAACACCTGGACGCACCCGCGGAGCCTGTCAGTGGCCCCAAGGCAGAGCGGCGACTGGCCGGGAAACCACCCATGTCCCCTTCCAGTAAGTGTTTCCAGAGAACTGACTCCCCAGGCACACGGCAGGCAGCACTTCCATCTGTTACCAGGGAAAGATGCTTAGTTCAGTATGGTAATCATCACATTTGTAAGATCATTGCCATAGATTGCTTTAATCGATTCTGTTTTTTGGGCTTTTGCTTAACACAAAGGTGTCGAATTGGACAGTGATGAATTGTGGCCCAGAAGCTTGTCACCTGCTTCAGCCTGGTGTCAGCTTAGTTACTTGACAGCTCCCCAACTAAGCACTTAAAAGGACATGTCACATGGGTGCCCTGCAAATGTGGGACCCGAGAATTAGAGGGTGGTCAAGAGCCAAGGACGGCCACTTTGAGTTTGCGCTGTTCAAGTAGCCATCTGTCTGTTCACCTTGAAGCACTTCCCGAAAGTTAGGAGTCTGTGATCTGAGTCTGTGGCTTTAAGAAAGGGGGTCGCAATTGGCTGCAAGCAGCAAGGGCTGCCAGCAGAGGCAGCCCCTGCCCTGTGGGTGGCAGCAAGTCCACATGGGTAGGTGGGTAAAGAGTTCTTGCTGGCTCTCAGCCCAGCTGCTTCTGCTGAGGCAGTACACTGTGCTCAGAGCCCTTGGACTGCAGCATGTTCTGGTTGAGAATTCCACCTATAGTGAAGTGAGGGGCAGAAGGAATCAGGGAGGGCTGGAGTAGTCGACCTAAATGGGTGTGGGGCCTTGGCTCTAGGCACCTGGAGCTCTGGCTTAGAGTTAAAGTTCTCGGATTCCTAGTCACAGGTGATGACTCTGCTTGTTCCAGATGGCAAGACAGGGAGTGAACAAGTGTACAAGCTCGTGGAGGGAGCTTTGTGTTCCTCCAGCCTCCAGCTGGTGATGCCCAGGTGTTCAGGGAGCACTTGCTTCTGTGCTCAGCGGTGGCCCCGACTTCTGGTGCAAAGCTGCTGGCGCTTCTGTCACTCGGGAGAGGTTTTCTCTGTGCATTGAGATTCTGATTTATGGGAACTGGGCTTGTTGAATTTGATTTTACAATTGCTGGAAGCAGCACGTGCATTTCTAAGTTGATAAATTTGATGAAGTTGATGATTTTCTGAGATATCTGATACCGTGCAAATGCTATGTAAATTGCTGTACGGTTTAGGGAATAACAAGAAAAAAAGAGTCTGTATATGTTTAGTGCAGGCACAACCATCCATTAAAAAAAAAATATTTTCAGCCCAAGGCTTGTTGAATTCATGGAGACGGAACCCAAGGGTCTACTCTGTACTCTGATTTTTGATGAAGTTACTTAGAAGTACAATAGTAATACATAGTCAACACCGTCTGTCAGGATTTCCTGAGCGGTCTAAGAATATTCTGGTATCAAAACTTAAGAGTTGATTTCTTTGGGACAAACTACGTCATTCAGTATTTTCCTTCTTTTCATAGAGGTGGTGCATTTGATGGTATTAATTGTTTTGTGTTTTCAGTGTTTGAATTTTGTGCCTACCAGCTTGTTCTCAGGATTTCTGTTTACCACCAGTGTGTATATGAATAATTCCATCTTATACGAACGGCACTGAAATGTACAGCACCCCTAGTACTAGCATTCCTTGTGGTGGTGGCTGGTAGGCATGCATGCATTTTCTGTCAGTCGGATTAGAATGCATTTCCAGTTTTATTTGATGAAACTGAATGCATTCAAGGCATAGGACACATAATTTTGATATACTAAGCAAAGGGTCATAATAAAGTGTCATTTAAAGCAACCCATTACCTGCTTACATCTCGTATCTTTCCTTGTTTGATGTACACTCTTTGACATAGAGTTAATCTTAAAAATAAAATACATATCAACCTCTAAGAAACAAAATTACGAAGAAAAGAGAACCTTAGATTATGAATTGGGTATATTTTTTAATTAAATATAAACATGATTAGAGCTATCCCTCGATATCCGTGGGGGACTGGCTTCAGATGCTCAAGTCCCTTATATAAACTGGTGTGGTATTTGGAAGCGTTTTCTAGCTGCGTGTGCTACCTGGGATTCACTCACCACGCTGTGTGTTTTCTGCACTTTTGAGTCTTGGCTCATGCTCTCTGCCTGGTGTGTATTGCTCCCATGTACTGCATTTATTTTCTTTTACAATGTATTCCAGGGTTTCTGTATTGTTTTGTTTTGTTTTTAGAGATAAATTCTCATTTCTTTGCTCTGGCTGGAGTGCCTGACATGATCACAGCTCACTGTAGCCTTGAACTCCTGAGCTCAAGCCATCCACCTGCCTCAGCTTCCTGAGTAGCTGGGACTACAGGCAGCGCCACCATTCCCAGCTAAGTGTTTTTTTTTTTTTTTTTTTTTTGTAAAAATGAGGTCTTACTATGTTGTAGGCTGGTCTTGAACTCCTGGCCTCAGGCAGTCCTCCTGCCTTGGCCTTCTAAAATGCTGGGGTTGTTTATTTTTTAATTAAAAAATATGTAGTCAAGAAGAGCCAAGGCAATTTTGAAGAAGGAGGGAGGCTTCACCTTTCTTAGTTTTTAGACTTACCATAATGTTCTAATTTCTAGAACAAGTATTGCATTGATGCAGACAGAGATAAACAGATAATGGGACAAAATATCAAGTATGGTATGTGACAACTTGCAGAGAAGGAATATATTAGTTTCTGATTGCTGCTACAACAAATTACCCCAAACTTAGTGACATTAAACACCAGGAGCTTATTATCCTAAAATTCTGGAGGTCAGAGGTCCCAAGTGGGTCCCACAGGCTTCAGTCAAGAGCTCAGTGGGGCCGTGCTCCTTCTGGAGGCTCCAGGGGAAAATCCATTTCCTCACCTTTTCCACCTGCTAGAGGCCACCTGCGTCCCTTGACTCCTTCTTCCATCTTCAGAGGCAGCCATGCAGAACCTTCCAGACTCACTCAGCTCTGACCCTCTTGCCTCCCTGCCTCCCTGCCTTTCGCTTACAAAGACTGTTGTGAGTGCATTGGGCCCATTTGGAAAATCCAGGGTCATCCCGGCATCTCAGGGTCAGCTGATGAGCATTTTAGTCCCTTGGCATTTGACATATGGATAGGTTCTGGGATTAGGCTGTGGGTAGCTCTGGGGTGGCAGCAGTTACTCCACTTACTGCAAGGAGTACCAGTCAGTAAACGGTGTGGTGTGATCATTGGCCTGTATGCAAAATATGAAATTCAGTTCTAATTTCATGTCATATTCAATAATAAATTCCAGATGGCCTGAAAACCAAAAATTCAGAAATGTTAGAATTAGAAGATTAAAAAGAAGAAAGATTATAGAAAGAGGTCCTCCAAATCAATAAGAAATAGCAGGAAAGAAAAATGGGCAGTGCTCAGCCATTGCTGGGTCATCATTAACGTTGTCGTCATATGAAGAGGAAATTTATAGAGAATAAACCAGAATAACCAATAACCATAAACCTATGAAAAAGTGCTCAGTATTGCTGGTAGTCGGAGAAATGCAAAATAAAATGAGAAATCGTTTTATTCCCCTCATGCTGGAGAAATCTAGCTGTCTAATAGTGCGAAGGTTAATGAGGATGTGGTTAAAGCAGAACTCTTACCACTGTGGGAAGAATGTGATATGTACAGCCACTTTGAAGAGTGATTTTGTAATGTTTAGTTAATACCCTACAACTCAGAAATGCCATTTTCAGACGCCTGTTAAAGTGAACAACCAGTTCATATGTACAAGGAGACATGGGTAGGCCCGGCATCACAGCAGCTTCTAAGTTAACATTTGAAAACAGTCTGCCTGCTTCCCAGGCAGGGAATGCATAAACTCAGTTATTTGGACAATGAAATGATCTGCGCCAGTTAAATGAATGAAGTAGATCTGTACATACCATGGTGGATAAACCTTCACAACGGTATGTTGAATGCACACAGATTCTGAAAGGAAATGAACAATGTGCTACCATTTAAGTAACTTTCAAAACAATTGTGTGTATTGCTTATGAATGCATGCTTACTAAGTGGATGTTAGAGCAGTTACTTAATGTCTCTGTCCTTGTTTCCTCAGTGGTAAAATGGGATGGATTAAATACCTAAGTATGAAAAATAAACTTGAGAAATCTTAGAAAAAGACATTGGAGAATATTTTTACGGCCTTTAGGGTTAGGAAGGCCTTCTTAAGCAAGATAGACAAAGCATAAAAGAAAAAAAGAAGACTGAGAAATATGATCATATTAAAATATAAAACTTTCGTGTGAAAAAGACTCTATAAACAAAGTTAGTAGACAGACCTCAGACTGAAAGATACTTGCAATACACATGACTATTAAAAATTAATGAAGGAAGTAAGATGAGAAGATTAGAAAGAAAGATTACAGAAAGAGCTCCTCCAAATCAATAAGAAGCAGATCAACAACAGAAAAATGGGCAAAGGATAGCAAAGGATTGTGGAGAGGATGAAACGAGTAAAGATACGTCCAGGTGCTCAGGGCTGCCTGGCGTGGAGCAGATACCCAGCGATTGCCATTGTCCTCATGCTACTGCCATTGCCATTCCTTTTTTTTTTTTTTTTTTTTTAAGATGGAGTTTTGCTCTTGTTGCCTGGGCTGGAGTGCTGTTGCACTGTCTCGGCTCACTGCAACGTCTGCTTCCGGGTTTAAGCCTGCCTCAGCCTCCTGAGTAGCTGGGATAACAGCCGTGTGCCACCATGCCCAGCAAATTTTGTCTTTTTAGTAGAGACAGGGTTTCTCCATGTTGGTCAGGCTGGTCTTGAACTCCCGACCTCAGGTTATCCGTCCGCCTTGGCCTTCCAAAAGTGCTGGGATTACAGACATGAGCCCCTGCACCCAGCCCATTGCTGTTCTTCTAATTGGCAGCATTGAGGGAAGTGACTACATGTATGTACCCCTTTCAACTACTGGTTCAATTAACACAGGCCCAAAATCTTACTGGAGCAAGGTAGCCACCAGGGCAGAAGCAACAGCAGGGCATCTCCATGGAGCTCCTCTGGACCTCAGAGTCTTTGATGGGTAAAAACAGTTGTCCTTGGCTGGGCACAATGGCTCACGCC